CCCCCCCCCCCCCCTCCCTTAGTGTCAATTTCAGTCATAACCATAGGTATGAGAGCCAAATTTCTCTCTATTTAGTTTAACATCCAAGAGAGATAATTTTTTTCTGGCTTTTAAGAGGGTCACTCTATCATTCGTCCTCCTATGTTTAATGATATATACTACACAGTGGAAAACACGTATGAGAATTTTCTTATTTTCTATGAATTTAAATTTATGGAATATTATTGAAAATGACTTTCAAAAACCCTTTAGACCAATGAACGAATGGATTAATCTAGAGAAGAAAATGTTTTCTTTAAATGCTAGAGCTATGAATGCTTTATTTTGAGCCTTAGACAAAAATGAGTTTAATCGTATTTCTTTATGCAAAACTACATATGAGATTTGGCACATACTAGAAGTAACTCATGAAGGCACAAATAGAGTAAAAGAGTCTAAAGTCAATCTTTGGATACATTGTTTTGAATTATTTCGAATGAAACCAAGCGAAACCATTGGAAACATATATATACCCGTTTTATAGATGTCATTAATGGTTTGAAAGCACTTGATAAAAGTTTTTCTAATTTGTTAACAAAATACTAAGATCCCTTCCAAAAAGTTGGGATCCGAAAGTGATGGTAATATAAGAGACAAATGACTTGAACAATTTCTCTATTGAAGAACTTATTGTTGAATCTCGATTTTGATAATGAAATTAATTGATGAGTTTATGATCTAATGTACGTTTTGAGTGATGTATGACTAACTTCGATCAGAAAGAAAAATTGATTAAAGCAGGAGGAATTAGACGTTGGGCCAGAGTAAACATGTCAGAAGATTAGACATCAGCCAGAGGATCAGTCGATGTGTCGGCAAAAGGACTTTGTGCCATGAATTCGAGCATCGACCGAAGGATTAGAGATTGTACAAAGGAGATCAAAAGTTGTGAGAGTCAACATACCGATTGAGTAATATGCCAAATGAGAGGACTATTAGGATCAAGAACGACACTAAGAGAGAAGGAGGGGGGGGGGGTGAGTTAGTGCAGTGGATAAAAATAATAAATTTCAATGATTTTGAAAAACTTTGTTTGATGAAATTTTAAGTTTGATGAAAATCGTTAGTTAGACTCGAATAAGTTTGCAAGTGAGTAGAGAAGAGGGGATTGGACAGTTTACAATGAAGTAAAGTAAAATGCAGTAAAGAGAATAAGTAGTAAGGAAAGAATACACCGAAATTTATAGTGGTTTGGTTGTTGTGACCTACATCCACTTTTGATTCCTCCTCCGTCGAGGTCACCGGCATCCACTAATGATCTTCTTTCAATAAGTGAAGACTAACCACCTTTTTATAGTGCTTTCTCTTTTTCATGGGTTTATGAGATAACCCTTACAAGCCTCACACCTCTTCTTGGATGATTACAAAACTAAAGAAAAAGAGGAGGACTCTTGCACTTTTACATTACTTTTTACACCCCAACACTTAAAGATTTTTTCCATACTTAGATATCATTTGTTACCCTTTTATACAAAAAAGGGTGGGGTATTTTTAGGCCCCAATGGCTTCAAAATTGGAGCAAAAAAGTATCTCATCTCGGGTTTCCAGGGTACTAGCGGTACCACTGCCTAACACTTTGATAGTGGATGGTACCACCGCTTGACAAAGTCTTAGATATTGAGCTTTGATGGTACCACCATCTGGCAATAATAACTACGGCTTTAGTTTGGGCGGTACCACCGCCCAGACCACCTAGGAGACCATTCCCTGGGCGGTTCCATCGCCCCAGTCTAGCGGTGCCACTTCCACACAGGGTCCAACAAACTAGTTAGGCCTTGAATATGGCCCAAACCAGTCCAATTACGGGCCCAGTTGGCCCTTAATAGGATTAATGTGATTACCTCTCAACCTAATCCTAATTATGTGCTAACTATAATTTTTAAGTCCTACACTAAACTAAAGAAGCCCGGTGAGTCTAGGTTTCTTCCGGCGAGCTTCCGATGATCTTCTGACGGATTTTCGACGATCTCTTGGCAATCTTCTAATAGACTCCTAGCAAGCTCCTAGACCTCACGACGATTTTCTTGGTGAGTTCCGACAAGCTTCTTCTTGGTCATTTCTGGTAGCATTTCTGATGAACCTCCGGACTCCCAACGAACTCTCAAACTCCCAATGAAATCTCTATCTTAACTCCGGCACTTTATTTTGCTTTATGCCTTAATCGCTATCGTAGTTAATCCTGCACACTTTTCTCAACATATAGATTTGATCATATAATTTACCAATTGATTTCATCATCAAAATCTAAGATTCAATAATCTCTCCCTTTTTTGTGATGACAATCAATTGATGATGGAGTTAACCTTAACTCTCCCTTTCTATATGTCATACTTCAGAAAAGACACTCTTGAATTCAAATATCAAATCAATAAGTTATATGCATTTAAACTTATCAACATGCACATCATGATACCTATCGTGATTTATCATCTCAAAATATGATATAACGTATTTATCACAATAAAAATGATGCCAAGGCATGACATCCATTTTTAAGTCCAATATAAAATGATGATAGGCAATCATCATTTTCTAGTATGATACGAATTTCAAATATAAAATCTAGCAAGATTTAAATTTCAAGATTCAAATTTCAAAGATGACAATTCATCGATCCGAGGCATGATATTAATTGTAAGTAGGAAATTAAGCATGATAGTCACAATGATAGACATTTATCATCTTGATTCGAAATCAAGTATGATATTAAGAATGAAATATTTTTAAGTATTCATGCCACATTATGATATGTTTTAAGCTCATGATATATTTCAAGTATCTACAATACATATGATGCATATGCAATACATTTTAATATTTTTCAAGTATTTATGATGTATTTGACGATTCCAATCATATTTCAAGCAATCTTAAAACATTCAAGCATTTACAATAAGATACATTTGACATATTATTTCAAACATTCATAATGCCAATTTGTAATCAATTTGCCATATTTCTTCAAATATTTTCTCCCCCTTTATCATCAACAAAAAGGAGAGCCATTCAACAATGCAAGTGTGTTAAAAAAAATTCAAGCAAGTTCCATACCAATTTATCCAAGCCAAAAAGGAAGGTAAGCAAAAACTTTGCATGATAACTACTTTTGG